GCCGCAGACCAAATCCAGATCTCCTGCTGCCCTTGCTCCGCCGGCCATCGGAAGGCTCTGCCCTTCAGAGCCCTGCCTGGAAGGCAGGACAGGCCACTCATGGAGGCCAAGTCACCAGGGAATGACTTGGGTTGTTTCGCACATTGACATGATTTCTCATTTTCCCACGATGAGCATGGGTGTGTAATCCCCCCGCGCCCCCCTCAAGGGAAGGATAAAAAAATGAAAAGATTGTAGGAGGAAGGCATGAAGGAGGACATCATCTCTCTCCTTGCCTGCCTGGCCTGGGCAGACCCTTCGTCCTCCATCTCAGCTTCACCTCAAACGAGATGCGCCCGCCCTGTCCCCCAGGCCCAGGTCTGAGCCTGTCCACCCCTCACAGCAGCCCTGAGAAGTGACATTCCGTGGTGCCCATGCTTACTGGGTTAAACAGTGTCTCTCAAAGCCACGTCCACCAGCACCCTCACCATGTGGCCTCATGTGGAAGCAGGGTCTTTGCCGGGGCAGGTAAAAAGGATGGGGTCCAGTGACGGGTGTCCTTGTAGGAAGGCCTCGTACCCACAGAGGCAGAGATCGAGGATGCAGCGACTAGCTGAGGTACGGCCGAGGCCAGCCGGGCGCGGGGAGAGACCGGGAATGGTTCTCTCCTAGATCCTTCCACGCCTGGATGTCAGACTCAGCCTTGGGACTGGGAGACGGTCCCTTGCGGTGGTGTGAAGCTTTGTGACGCCTGCCCATTTTTCATGGAAATGAGAGGTTTATCGAAGTAGAGAGCTGATTCAAGGTCTCTCATCGATAGTGTTCAACAGGGGACAGTTGGGCCCAAGCTCTTTGATCTTCTCCTTCTCTTCCTCCTCTTCCTCCTCCTCCTCCTTCATCTTCTCTGTTTATTTTGAAGTTTCAGTTTTGTATAACCCAAGCTGCTCTTCAAGGAGAACACACAGTCATTCTGGCACGTTGGGATAGTATGTCAGTTTGTTTGTTTGTTTGATAGTCACATGACTAGATCCACACTCGATGTCTGGTGAGCGAGACCAGTCCCTAGGATTCCCGAGGCAATAATTTATGGGATAGGCAGCAAAGGAGCCCTGGTGGGGTCGTGCTTATGCATTGGGCCGCGATCTGCACGAGCTGTAGTTTGAAACCACCAGCTTGCTCCTCTGCGGGAGACACCCCCTACCCAAATTCACCGCCATCGAGTCCATGCTGACTCATAAGCGCCCCTGTGGGTTCCTGAGACTGTAACTGTTTATGTAGAAAGCCCCGTCTTTCTTCCGGGGAGCTGCTGGTGGTTTTGAACTGCCAACCCTGTGGACCGTAGTCCAATGGGTAACCGCTATACCACCAGGAAAAGCTGGGCTTTCTACTTCTGTAAACAGGTGCAGTCTCAGAAACTCACAGGGACAGTTCTACCCTGTCCATGGCAGTGAGTAGCCAGTGAAACCCTAATTGCAGCCAGTGACTGAAAGGATGGCATAGGGGACAGTGTCCCTAAAGAGCCTTCTAGTCCGTCTTAGCTAAGCAGAACCCGCCTTACACAGCAGGCCCTTTGATTTCATGTCCACATCTCCTCTCCTGCATCCAACCCTGCCTGTCTCCTGCACCGGGCTGCATCCAACCCTCACCCTTTGCACGGAGTTGGAGGAAAATGAGTGCCGAGGCTCGTCTGGGTCCTGAGACTTGGAGGAGAGGAGTGGTGTGGGGAGCACAGGGGTGGTGGTGGTGGTGGGTAAACACCATTGACAAGTCCAGAGTCCAGCAGGCAGGCATTGCTGACACACACGCTAGTGTGTGGCATCGTATGAAGTTACTGACTGCAGCCTTCAAGCACCGGCTCAGGAAAATGTTCGGAACATCTCTGCAAATCAAAGGCGGTGGGTTTCAAGCCAGCTTGGGGCATAGAGCCCTGTCTTCTGCGACAGCAAAGAGCCTCGTGTGGACATGTCATCGGGACAGTCATCTCTTTCTGCAAATGTCACCCATCGGGAAGGAGAGTGGAGGGTCCCTTTAAAATCCTCTCTCTCTCTGCCTTGTCTGCATCGCCTACAACAAGCACGTACCACCTCCGTACGAACCCAGCAAAGTGATTTGCACTCGGGAAATAAAGGAGCTTCGGCAAGCAAGTGTGGAGCAGAGGCCGTGCCTGGGTGGGGGCCTCTGCCTGGAAGGGCCTGCTCTGGTCAGCCTTGTTAGTTGTCCTCAGTGTCGCATCTGACAGTGGATACTTGAACGTGGTGGGGGGAAGGTCCCTTTGGAATCTAGTCGCCCACTTCCACTGACACTCACCACCCCACACCTCCCACCCACCACCCCCTCCGGCTATGATCAAAGGCCAGAGTGAAAACGAGATCTGAAACTTCAGCCTGGAAAAGCCACGCGGCTGATGTTGGGATAAGGAGGGATCACCGCTCACCAGCTGGGCGCCTCCCTCCCTGGACTGCCACCCCTCCCCTGGCTGCCCCCTCTTCTGCCTGCACCCAGGCCGGGCTCTGGGAGGGTGCAGTTGCCCGTGGCACAGTCCCAAAGGGCCTCCACCCCTCCACTGTCCGACAGCCAACTCGCCGGCCTGCTGGAGAGCCCCCGCCACTGGACTCGTTCCTTTGGATTCAAGTAGCCTTTTCTAGAAGGTTCCTTGGCCTGAGTGATAGCAAGTTCCTAGAGAGAGGTGACCCAGGAGTCTGACTGGATGCAGGCAACTGATTAGCCGTTATCATGTGGGTGAGCAGAGTCCTGATGGGGAGACTCGGCCAAGTCAGTTCTTCTGGTAGTCGGGTAGGGGCTCCTGAGGCAGGGGGCCGAGAGGGAGGTGGTCCACGTCAAGATGGGCACCATGGAAACAAGCTTCGCCATGAGTCCCTGGCAGACCAGGATCCCTGGCATCGGAACAGCCCGCCCCTAGCTCCGTGACCTTGGGCAAGTCCCACAACATCTCTGAGCCTCCTCCTTTCATCATCTGTAAAATGTGGAAGGTGGGAGTGATCACAATAGTACCAAATGCACACGGCAGAGGCTGCATGAGACGAAGTCCCTGTTGATTGATACCCACGTAGTGAATGGCAGCTATCACTGTTGTCATGACCTTAGAGAAGATGAAACAGAAGGTCGAGGGGGACCACAGACCTTGTCTAAGACAGGAAAGATTGGGGGCTGAATAGTCATGGTGTCGCTTTGGACGACCCAATGGCCTGAGGAGGGGGATGGAGACAGGAAGAGGAAGGGGAAGGGGAGGCACCCAGGAGATGGCTTAGATGAAGACGTGTCATGATCTTGCCCCATCTAGGTCACCAGCTGCACCCAGGAGTGATGACTCAGAGAAGTCTCCACCCAGAGACTGGTCCCACGGGCACAGCGGGCACATGCGGGAGAGGTCCAGGGAGCAATACACAGAGGCACCCATCTCCCTGATGGCTCAGTCACCTCTAGACTCTTCACCTTACAGTCCAAGCTGCAGATCCAGAGCCAGCCAGCCCCACACCCCTTAAAGCAGGACATGTCAGGAAAAGAGCAAGGCATTTCCCGTGGCCACACAGCATGATCTGTGAGATTCCTCTCCTGCAAACTCAGAGAGATCAAGCCACTTGCCCAACATCACACAGCTAGGACATCCGAGAACCCCTGACACCAGGGTGCCCAGAGTCTAGCTGGACACTGACACTGGGGTGGGTTCCAAGCCCGTGTCCTAAGACCCCAGGCCTGGAATACTCGGGAGAAGCAGCTCTGTGGGCTCTGAGCTCAGAGGGGGCTTCCCACAGGCCTCTAAGGAGCAGGGGGTGAGATGGTTCACAACAGGCACTGGGGACTCACCTTCTCCCTGAGCCCCCCAAACTCCTCTCCTCCCATCAGGAACACCTCCTGTAGGTAGCCCTCCTGTCCCATTGTCTCCCTGAGCCTTTGTCCCTGTGCCGTGGAGTCAGCGTGCCTGCTTCCGGCTGGGTGACTTTGCTAATGTTCTTTTCCTTCAGGACCACAGACAGGCCCTCGGGGAAGCCTCACCATACGCAGAGGGGACTGTGTGATAAACTGCCTGGTGTCCCAGAGCAGAGAATTTGTTTATAGGGATTCTTTAAGCCGCCAGTTCTAATGGAACACGTGGTTTTGTTTACAGGAACTCCTGCTCTGAGAGAAGCCCACATACCTGTCTGCTCTGCCAGGCCTCTGAAATGGCATTCAAGGCCTTTCCCAATCTGGCCCGAGCCTGCCTTTCATCCTGATGGCTGCTAGGTGGTGCCGGGGCATTTCCAACTCATGGTGACCCTAGATACAGCAGAATGAAACGCCGCCTGGTCCTGTGTCATCCTATTATGTTTGAGAACCTTGTTGCAGCCCTAGATCAAGCCATCTTCTTGAGGGCCTTCCTTTATTTTGATGACTTTGTACCAAACAAAAAAAAAATCTCTGCTTTGCAAGGGCATCTCTTCCACAGTCATATTTTGAGCGCCTTCAACCTGAGGTGTTGGTCTTCAGGCCCTATAGCTGACGATTCTCCTCTGCTATTCATAGCAGACATTAAAATGAGGTGCAATCTCCTGCCACAAAAGTTCAGCCCTTGCTTGTCCCTGGTTCAATGGCTCCCCCCTTTTTATACCCAGCTCAAATGTCCCCTACTCAACTCCTCACCTTCCCCAGGCAGAATTGGGGCTGGTGGCTCTCTCGGTGGAGAGAGCCAATATCTGACCCCCTAGTTGGATGGGAAGCCCCAACCACTCAGTCCAGATGCCTTGCAATCATCAAGGAGCCAATCAAACGTGATGAACATGTTCTATGTGCCCAATCCTTTAGTAAAGAAGGCAGACCAGGCCTCAGCTCAGAGAGCATGCACAGAAGACAACACATGTGTCGATAGATAGGTGGATCTGCTGGCTTCAGACCCTGATAAATCCTCTGGCAAAACACACAGGATGATGTTTAGGGGGAATCTGAGCAGAGGAGTCTGTAGTCTTGACCAAAGTGAGTCCTCCCAGCCTCACCCAGATGTCTCAGAACCCTGCCCCTGTCATGCACTTGCTCGTTCATTCATTCATTCATTTGCTGAGCACCAATGGGGCAGGGTGCTGTCCTCGATGCCCTAAGGTTGGTGTGCCCAGGGAGACTGAGGCTGGAATGGGGAGGGAGCTGGGTGGTGGCAGGGAGGGGGCTGCATGCTGTAGACCATTTCCCTCCCTCTGATCAGTCATGCTTCCTAATTCAATAAGGTGCGAAGGAGCATAACCTGATCATATTTGTTTTGCATCACTGCAAAAACAGAAAATGAAGGGCTGCAGAACTGCACCAATTTACTTCATCCGACCTTGATTAAAAGAAAATTAATTGTTGCATCTCTCAGGATATCACAGGCAGCAGCCAATCGCAGGCCGGGATACCACAAAGCGAGGGAAAGAGTGAGAACCACTTCATGCCCCTTCCTCTGCTCACCGCCAGCCCAGCTGGCTGCTAGAGCAGAGGCGAGTGGAGGGGGAGAGAGCTTCCTCAGCAGGAGAGGGAACCGCGAAGCCCGTCCTCTTGTCTCCCACCAGCTCTGGGCTGCACCCCACCTCCACGCCCTGCTGGTCAGAGACCGGGTACCCCATCTCAGGGTCCTCCCCAGCCTTCCAAACAACTCCCAGGGGCCCATTCCCTCCCCAGACATCTTGTGGGTGCATCCAAAGAAAGTGTCCTTCAAAGAGCCAGGGCCGTCTCGCTCGCCCTCACCCCTACCCGCTCAGCCCCTGCTCTGAGGGTGCAGGAGGAGAGGAGGGGCCTGGTGCTGCCCGGGTGAGCCAGCCGGGGCGGGGTGTCAAGGGAGAGCAGCTCATGAAAAGTTAATGCCCCCTTGCAGGTTGTTGATTTTTGTTTGTTTTTCTCTTTTTGCCAGAAGAGAAGCCTCTTTCATTAGCCCAGACTGTCATTACCCGGCATTAAATTTTCATGTCTCAGGCAGGAGGCCGGGCGGGGGGAGATGAGCAGCGGGGCA